AAAGAGAGTATGAGGAGAAAAGGCGTGTTTAGTTATATATTGAATGAATAACGTCTGAATCCTCTGTTATGCGCAATAACGGACATTGGAGAAAGAGGTGGGAGAACGACGTCATCAGCCGCCATTGGAGGAGGAGCGCTGGATCAATACGAAGGACAACGCGAGCGCAGGCACTTTTTCCACAGCCCGGACTGCGAGAGGAAGCTGCAGCTTCTCTCCCCCCCAATTACCTTCTGCTTGTTCTATTACCACGTTACTTAATTAAAGTACCCATTTGAACCTTCTCAGAGACTCCATTGGTCTCCTTATTTTAAGTTTCTCTCCTGGAAGCGAGAGGAGCATCACAGTTTTCTTTATTACTCAATATCAAGCCACACTTATGGCTGTGAGTGTTTGTGTGTGCTCAGGATGAGTTTCGCTTGTTCTCGCTGTATCGCCGACACGGAAGCCTGTCTGCTCCTCGCAGCAAGGAGCAGCAGCGGCGAGCAGCAACGAGCCCCTCAACGTCATGACCAATCAGAGCACACTGGGCTCACAGGGAGGGGGGGCAGGAGCTCCAACAAGCCATTTAGGACAGAGAGTGAATACCTGGTGAATACACATATACAGAGATGCTGTATGAGAAACCAATGAGTTTGGAAAATTGCACAGTATAAATCTATTTTAGTAGACCTCAACAATGGAATTATGATCAGTAGTGTTAACATTGAGGTAAATGTGAACCAATTTGTGTTATTTGTTGTGCATGACCGGAAGCCAATAGCGTAACAGGTTAAAGGTCATGATGGGTATAAATAAAGCCACGCCTCCAATGGGAGAGTCCGTTGAATGAAATGCCACTGTCTCTGATGTTTCGTTATTCCTCCGCTTATTTGGATGCTAAACAGCAATGAAGTTATGCTTACTCTGCTAACAAGTAGAAATGGCCATGACATGGGACCTTTAATAATCCATGACACTCTGAGAGTGAGCTGATTTTAAAAGTCTTTCTCCTGGTTGGAAAATGCTGTTTGCTTTGTTTCTGTGTTAGAACTAAACCTCAAGGCTTTAGTTATAACAGGTTAGTATTCAAATAATATCTGTGTCAAACAGGGCCGGCCCTTGGCACAGGCCAGTGGTTCTCAATGTATCAGACCTCAGGACCCACTTTTTTCCTTTCTCGACAAATCGCGACCCGAAGTTTTGAACCACTCAAATCTATTCAACAAAAAGTCGTGCTGTAATATATACACTTTTCAGCATATATTATTAATTAAAGTGAAGTACAGTGCATATGTCCCTCATATCCCATATAGCGTACAGCGCCCATAAACTATGGCAGGGGTCTGCAACCTTTTCGACCAAAAGAGACATTTTGCCCCCTTTTCCACCAATGTTTGTCTGGAGCCGCAAAACATATTTGATAGCTTGATAGCCTCTAACATTGTATATATTGTTATTTGATAGACAAAAACTACAGTTTTTTTGCATGTATTATTACATTAAAGAAAACTGGCGCAAAGACGAGAAAAGTGTCAGCAGTATAGCTTGTGTCCATGAATGAATGACAGACTGCAACGTGCTTTACGTGTCCGGTAGAGAGTAGGACATTAACGCTGCCAAGCCAAACAATTTGCGTCACCACGCCAGGCTGCAGCCACCACAGGAGAAGCGGAAATGGGAGGGACCCAGTTTGGCACCTCAGCTTAAATAGCCGGTGCGCACAATTGGTGCGCTGGCACGGTGCCAAGCAGCGGCACAGAAGGAGAAGACCTCCGGTCACATCTGTCCACGCAGAGGGTTATCTAGAATAACTTTTATCCAATGACCTTTTCCCTCTCTGTCTGTGTCTGTGTATTCTCTTGTTCCGATTAACCCAGCCAAATCTTTTTTCTTGTTTTGTATCTATATCTACGTCGGGATCCGGAGTCGAGGCTGATCCTCTTGCTGTAGTCCTGTTTCTTGGACCCTCTATCCTGAGTTCTGGATTAAGTCGTGGACTTCAAGTCGTGGACTTCGGGTCGTGGCTGAACCTGTCTCTGCGGTCCTGCCTTGGGTCTCGTCATGCTGCTTCCCACAGGATTGTAGCTGACATCCTCGTGGATTCATCTTCTTATTACAGACACATGCATTTCCTAACATTCGGTTTATATGCTGTAAAATGTATTATCTCTTCGATTTACACACGGCATCTATTGCACGTCTGTCCGTCCTGGGAGAGGGATCCCTCCTCTGTTGCTCTCCCTGAGGTTTCTCCCATTTTCCCCCCACAAACTGTGGGTTTTCTCTGGAAGTGTTTCCTTGTACGATGTGAGGGTCTAAGGACAGAGGGTCTAAGGACAGAGGGTGTCGTTTTTCTCATAGTGATATTCTGAACAATCCGTGTTGTTGTAAAGTGTCTCTACTGTAGGCTAATTTTATTATATGCACAGCACTTTGGCTCAACCAAAAATCGTTTATAAATGTGCTATATAAATAAAACTTGCTTTGATTTGAGAATCAAACCCTCTGTGTTGCTCCGATACTTTTCTTTTCTTTGATTTATCCAGTTTGTTCATCGAGCCGGGGGTCAGGTTATTCATCTACAAGAATATAAGGTAATATTTAAATGTAATTATTAAGTAACATAAAATGCAATTCTTATTCAATAAAACGGTTTTACACTTTTAAAACAACACTATTCTGTCCCCACTCCCGGGCAGACAGACAACAGGAAGAACACTTGGCTTCAGAAGTTCCGTTTTAAAGTTTTACTCAGAAAGCACTGTACAACTGGACACACAAGAAAATGTACATTCATTTCAAGCATAGCAATCATTCAAGTTATTATCATACATTTCACGTGTGTGTTAACAACCATAGCATAAACGATGCGTTAGCTTCATGCTAACCCCTATGGGAAATTACATTGAAAGGCTAGCGGTTCGCTAGAGTTAAATATCTAATAATACAATTATACAATTCTATAATGTTCTTCAACCATCAGGTTTCCCTTTCTATCAGCTCTGCACCGTTATAGTGTAAATACCAATTGGATCAAATATAAAAGTCAGCCGAATTAGTGTTGATACTGCAAGGAGACGTATTGTGTGAAAGGAAATGTAAGATGTTGTTTAATTGCTGATATATTTATGATCCACGTCACGTTTTCAGTTTTTGCGGCAGTTCTCCTGTTTGTCCAGAAGTCTTCTCATCAGGGCTCTATAAATAGAGAACTACGGCAGATATGTCATATTTAGTGCAGCCGAACCGTGTATTACAATGCCGTTATGTGATGACCTCCAAAGAGAAAAGCAAGCACCTCTGAATAAAGTATTATTTTATTTTAAAAAACGTTTTCAGATTTCACATCACATAAACACCAAATCCCAGCATGCATTGCGGCAAAATCACCCAATCATCGAGCTGAGGATCTTGCCTACGCCTGTTTCCGGTTTCGTTTATCACCGATGTATTTTGTTATACACACATTCCTTCACATTTACATTTTAATTAACATTAAAGTATTTCGTGAGGCCTTTTAACATGTTTTTAAATATAACTACGGTTGTAGTCGAAGAGTTTGTAAATTAACATAAAGCGAAGCTGTTGCCTGGCAACGCAATCGCACAACGTCACGTCCGTTAATTCCACATCCACACGCATGGATTAACATCGATTTAATACATTAATGTAGTCTTTGTTTATGCTAAAAGAGGTGTCGACCAGCTGGGGCAACAAGAAAATCTGCGTAATGGAGTGTGACTATTAAAAAATAAATCATTACGTCGGGTTAGCTTTGCTTGGCATTTCCGGTTATTTCTCCACTGGTTAACGTGGGTTAACAATACCGTGTAGCTGTCACGTTTGAAGGGACGAAATCGTGACATCTTCACGTCTCCCAGCATGGTAAATCGTCACATGTTCACGTCTTGCCGTGATACCGGGTTGGATGAACCAGGTTAGTAAGCAGTACAGTACATATGGTATGGAAGGAATAACATGTTTCACCCTTCTGCTCGACATCCGACCCTCACTTAGATTTTTCCTCTGCAGTTTCCTCTCTGGTTTGAGGACTCGTCTTAGTGAGGTTTAATTTAAAATAAATCCAGTTATTGCAGACAAACATGTTGCCTGAAGCTGCCGCGTGGATCAGACTGTGACATGAGAGGAACCTGTTTCAGTTTGTAAAGATTAAAACGAGAGAAAGCCGGGGACACAAACACACAGAGACAATAATGAGCACAAAGATCTTTTAATAACAGCTGAAAAGCAAACTGGAAATGAAACATGATAACAAAGACAAATGTCCCCACCAGGCACGTGCAGCAGCACCTCCCACTTTACTGTCCCTTCAGACAGACAGGTAGCAGCACCTCCCACCTTACAGTCCCTTCAGACAGACAGGTAGCAGCACCTCCCACTTTACTGTCCCTTCAGACAGACAGGTAGCAGCACCTCCCACTTTACTGTCCCTTCAGAAAGACAGGTAGCAGCACCTCCCACCTTACTGTCCCTTCAGAGAGACAGGTAGCAGCACCTCCCACCTTACTGTCCCTTCATACAGACAGGTAGCAGCACCTCCCACCTTACTGTCTCTTCAGACAGACAGGTAGCAGCACCTCCCACTTTACTGTCCCTTCAGACAGACAGGTAGCAGCACCTCCCACTTTACTGTCCCTTCAGACAGACAGGTAGCACCACCTACCACCTTACGGTCCCTTCAGACAGACAGATAGCAGCACCTCCCACTTTACTGTCCCTTCACACAGACAGGTAGCACCACCTCCCACTTTACTGTCCCTTCAGACAGACAGGTAGCAGCACCTCCCACTTTACAGTCCCTTCAGACAGACAGGTAGCACCACCTCCCACTTTACTGTCCCATGTTATGCCGGCTTTTCTTGGCTTGTTTGAAGTTGAGTGGTGATGAACAAATGACACAACTTGGAATAACTAAAGTTGGGTTTTATGCGTTCTAATATTGCAATGCAAACCCATGATGTAATGACAGTAATTCAGAATAATTGAGTCATTGAATGCTCATTTCAGTCGATGTAATAAAACAAAACATATTGGACATGGCCTCAAGACTGTAACCTCTTCACATTCTGTAGAAATAGTCAATTACTAGCCTTATCTCACACATTGCTGTTTTCAATCTCTAATATGTGGATGACAGTTGAACTGCATGATGTAACATGCATGCCATCTGCTGGAAAGAAGACATATCGCTCTGTTGGCGTTGTTTAGACAACAAAAACAGAATGAAGCTCTCATTTCATCAACAACCTTTGAGTCCAGACACCGTCCTGCAGAGAGCACACAGCCCAACAGCACGTTGTTGGTCTCGCATCACTTTACAAAACGTTAGCATTAAGACACTAAGACTAGCTGGTCCCTTGTAAAGGTGAGTCCACCTTAAATGAGCAGTGGGTGATCAGCTGGTGAAAGGCAGGACACGGGAACTTGGTCCTGAGGAGATGTAACGATTATTAAACAATAAATAGTCTCAAGGGGTCGAAGAAATGAACATTTGTGATTATTAGCGAATCGGTTGTAGGTGGGTGAAAACAGGCTTAGGGAGTAACGTATTACATATATTGGCATTAGGTCATCAGGATACAAAATAGACAAATGTATTCCCTTACCAACACACTTGGTCTTTTTAAACGATTACGCCATTTAAATCTTTTGTCACAAACTTTGCAGATCTATTTTTCCTCTCCTGTGTGGATTATCATGTGATCCTTTAAACTTCCACTCTGTGAAAAAGCTTTCTTACAGACTGTACAGGTGAATGGTTTCTCTCCTGTGTGGATTCTCATGTGTATCTTTAAATATCCACTCTGTGAAAAACCTTTCTTACAGACTGAGCAGCTGTGTGGTTTCTCTCCTGTGTGGATTCTCATGTGTATCTTTAAATTTACACACTGTGAAAAAGCTTTCTTACAGACTGTACAGCTGAATGGTTTCTCTCCTGTGTGGACTCTCATGTGTCTCTTTAAACTTCCACTATGTGAAAAAGCTTTCTTACAGACTGTACATGTGAATGGTTTATCTCCTGTGTGAACTCTCATGTGTGCTTGTAAATCTCCACTCTGTAGAAAAGCTTTCTTACAGACTGAGCAGCTAAATGGTTTCTCTCCTGTGTGGACTCTCATGTGTCTCTTTAAATCTCCACTCTGTGGAAAAGCTTTCTTACAGACTGAGCAGCTGAATGGTTTCTCTCCTGTGTGGACTCTCATGTGTCTCTTTAAATGTCCACTCTGTGGAAAAGCTTTCTTACAGACTGAGCAGCTGAATGGTTTCTTTTCAGCACTACGTTGTGGATCACTGACAGATTCATGTCTATTTTTCAGTGAGTTTGAGCCTGAGGCAGGTTCTCTGGGCTCTTTCCAATCAGCACTGTCTTTAGTGTCAGGTTCAGAAGAGTCTCCAGTGTCAGGTTCAGAAGAGTCTCCAGTGTCAGGTTCAGAAAAGTCTCCAGTGTCAGGTTCAGAAGAGTCTTCAGTGTCAGGTTCAGAAGAGTCTCCAGTGTGGTCCTCAGTCTTTGGTTGCAAACTGCTCTCTGGATCTGAGTTCCTGGCTGGTTCTGGTCCTCCACAGTCATCTCCATCAGCTTCTGTTTCCATGTGTTCATTTTGTCTTTGATGAGGCTGAGAGGACTGAAGTTTCTCTTCATCATCTTCACTCTTCACAGGGTCAGGAATGAAAATGGACTTGGTGATATCAGCCTCCTCCAGCTCCTGAAGCTGCTCTTCCTCCTGTTCCAGCTTAATGTGTGGGGGGGGCTCTGGGTCCTCCTGGTCCAGACTGGTGCTCCACTCCTGCTGGTCAGGGAGAAGCTCTTCTTTAACCACCACCAGCTGCTGGACGTCTGCAGGAAACAGGAAACACAGTCAGAACAAACTGTTAAGTGTTAGCATTTAAAAATATCATCACCATTACAATGGGAGACATTTTGCAGCCCTAATTAATGCCTTTGTTTTTATATTTTCACATTATCTTTCTATTGTGTATTTCTGTTGGCTCAAGTCACCTCATGTAGCCCAGCCCCTTTCCACTTCCAGTTAAAAATGTAAAAGGGTTTTTTCTTCTGGCGTAGCACTAGCCGCAATGTAAACAAGGTATTTGGGATCGTTCACAGATACACTACGCCTACAGTATAGAATGAAAATACTGTTATAAATTAAAATCCTGCATTCAAACCTTATTTAAGTAAAAGTATGCAAGTATTAACAGAACATTTGACGGCACCTTCCTATGTAACGGTAATGATGGTGCAGTAAAATGTTCCCTGTCAGTGTTTAATTTATGTTGTTTCTTGATTATTTTGTATGTTGCATTTTACTGCTGTACATGTTCAAAGTTGCGCTTGTATAAATTATTATAGATGAGGGAACCTGCTAAATGTTCAAATATGTGTGTTTTTTATATACAGTACCAGTCAAAAGTTGGTACAGTTTTTTAGTGTATTTCATAATTAAAGGAAATCATAATCAATTTACAAGAATAAACGGTTTATTGAAATGGGTCATGTATTTTAACAAAAAACAAACTGTAAAAATGGAATACATTATTCATCTGTTTTTTTAGCAGTTTTTAAATGTGAATTTAACAAAACTAACCGTAAAAATAAATGATTTTCTGTTGGCAAAATTAGCTGCATTTTCTGTAATTTAACTAAAAAATACTTTTGTTATGCCAATATATCACTGTCAAATACATAATACTGTTAATACTCGTTTAAAAAATGTATAATTGCAAGACAATATATGAGTAAAGAAAGAAATATTTTGTAATTTTGCTTAATTTAACCACTACCTTACATTGATACACTGAAAAACACAGGTATTGACTATCCTATTAGAGTAAAAAAACTACATTTTAACACATTTTGACTTTCACTTTATTGCTACATTTGTATTAATTTGAAGATGTAATAGTTAAATATGTGAATTTCATGTTATAAAAACTGTGTAAAACCATAGAGTTAAAAAACTTGACTGTTATTAACATGTTGGGTGCAAATTCCTACAAGAGCACAATTCAGATATAACACGATGCTATAACCCACCAGTAACAGCCATATACTGTGGGTTATAGGAGACATTTGTCTATGCCATGATACATCTATAAACTAGCTCAGAGCTGTCAGCATTCACTGCAGGCAAACCTAATGTGACCATTCACTTTTGATTTCTAAGTAGAAGAAGAAGAAGATATAATGTATTCATCCCTCAGAGGGAAATGTCTTCCCCCACTCTGTTGTGTTTAAACACATTACACACACAGGGAGGATATACTGTACATGCACAAACTATGGGCATAGATATGTCTCATAATTATTTGTGTGAACATAAAAATAATTTGTGTGTAAATATGTGATTTGTAAATGTAAAACACCACAAATGCATTTAAAAGATTTGCAAACTCACAAATAAATGTGCAAGTGTAAAACGGATCTGCAAATACGCTAAATATTTTCACAAATAAAAAAAGATCTGTGAATATCTCTTTAACATTTACAACTTTCGATCAGGCATTTGTGAATCCATTTTGTATTTGTCGAACAAAAATGCGCTTGCGGATCTCAAATCTCTGCTCGTGGATCTCACATTTCTGCTCGTGGATCGTCTTTTTACACACACGGAATTTTGAGACATATTTTCCGCCGGTCTCGGCTAAAATCTACTCGTGTCACTCGGTTATTTTCGGAAACCACTTGATGGCCTGCTGATGACGACATTTCCGCATGATTTCAAAGTAAGAGCATGATGGTTTGTTTAATGCTCTGTTTTTTATTATAATGAACAGCGGAACGTTAGATGCATTCTTTATCACCATCATCATCATCATCATCATCATCATCATGTTATAGTGATAGTTAGTTTGTGTTAGTTTATTGGTTCAATACAGCATTTATTGAGCACTTTCGTTGATGTTGAAGTACAGGCTATACGCCACTTTCGGATCCCGGGGGAGCAGCTGGCAGCGAAGCAGATAAAACTCTTTCTTCATTGTTTGTTGTGTATTCAGTCAAGTGGGTCAAGTGCTTTGCTTCCAGGTGGTTGCTCCTGTCTGCATCTCCAAGCTCGGGGCATACCGGCCATCAGTGGCGGACTGGCCATTGGGACGTTCGGGACGAATCCCGATGGGCCGCTCGGCCCACTTCGGTACTGAAGTAAAATATTGTCTTGTTTTCCAGATATAAAGAGGTCCATAAGTGTCTTTGTTAATCATCAGTGGTCTTGGCAATTGACAGGGGAACTCCAAGGGACATTTCCCCCAGATATAATGCAGTTAAATTCTTGTTAGTTAATGATGCATATCCTGCAGACACCTGGAGACTAGGTGGGGGAGGAGACATTCTTCTCAAGATCTCCAGCATGTCAAGTAGCAGGGAAGTCTACATATCTTGAATAATATATGTGTGTGTTTAATTACTTTGTATTAATAATAGCAATCTGTAACAAGAAGCTGGAAATATGATAAGTGAAACAATTGTATTTTGGAGTAAGTGGAGAGGGCTGCATGTGAAACGGTGTGTGTTAAACCGGGCCGCAGAGAAGGGAGGGAGGGGAGAATGTATGTTGTAACCGGACACCTTAGAATGTGTCTGCCTGTTTGTGTCTGCCAATCAGTGATCTCCTTGAGGGAGTCTCTGCATAACTCCTCCCACGGGAACTACCATATGTCTCTGTGAAGTCCTATTTCTCATTCTCTCTTCCTCCTGCTGACAAGACAAGACAAGACAGTTAGATTTCCCAGCGGGAGGAACCAGAGCCGGGGTAATCCGGATTACTTCGTGATGTTGTGTTATTGTATCTTTTGCCATTAAATCAGCATATTTGTTATAACCTGACCCTGGTTGCTTTGAATTCTTCCTCTGTTAATCTGACCCATTCACAAATGGACGCGTGGAGGCAGAGGGGGGGGGGCTCAGAGCCCCCGCCAGAGTGTGACTCCTGCCCCAACAGTACCGGCAAGGGCGGACTGGCCATCTGTAGAATCACCAAACACGCGGATCGGTTCGCTGTTTTTAAACGGCATCATTGAAGTTGCGCTGACAGACGACAGAGGTCCACCGTTTCCCAGTCTGCCTCTGCCGGCCATCATCTACTCTAGATAATACACTGACTATAGATAAGTACTGTACCTTAACCCCACTTTAAACACCCAAACTATCCCTTTATGATGTGACCTTTTCTACACTGTCAACATTAGGAAACACTAAAGAAAGAAAAGAAAGCTGCAGGAGCTGATCATTCCTAAAATACAATTGGCCATGTGATCACCAGTAAAAAACAACAACAATCTGCACTAAATATGTTTTGGATTTATAAATGTTTTGTGACTTTTTCCTTTGTGCACCTTAAGGGAGTTCTCCCCTGACAGCTGGACACTACATGATAGCAGAGGATCAGACCATCGTCAGTGGCAGTGTCCTGAATGTTGTCGACGCCCTGATGCTGATGTTTGCAGCATATTACTGCGTCAACATCAGTTATCGCTCAGAACTGGGAGCTACCCTGGAGTTCTTGCAGAGGTAAGACTTGAATTGTGATTATTAAGTCATTCCATCTTAAACCACAGTAGTTTTGATGTCTTCAGTATAAATCTAGAAAGTAGGACCAATTTAAATAAATGAAAAACTTTGAAAGAGAAGATGTGTCCAAACTTTTGACTGCGTCTAATACGAGTGTATATCTCTCTCAAAATATATATATTCTGTGTGTGTATATATATATATATATATATTATAAATACATTGATTGATGAGATTTTACATTCATTTATATTGTTTTAATTAATTGACCTTTGTACTAGTTCCCCTATTCTTTATCAAGTAACATTTTAGATGTGTTTAATTCATTATTGAACATATTTATTAGGGATGCTCTGATCGCCAATTTTGGGGCCAATCGCCGGAATCAGCATCGGCCGATACCGATCGCCGATCCGATCGAGTGGGTGGGCCCTGCTTCTCAAAGTGTGGTCCGCAGACCACCCCCTAGTGGTCCGTGAGTATATTGGTAACATTTCACATTTGAAATAAATAAATAAATTTAAGTTTTCCGCACTCTCGCGGGAATATCTCCGCAATGGAGCGAGCTTAAGTTTCACTTTCGATTGCATGATATAGCCCAGATAAACACCTTCATCACACTTGTTTGTACCATTTTCAGACGATTCGTAAAAATCTCTCTCTCTCTCTCTCTCTCTCTCTCTCTCTCTCTCTCTCTCTCCTGACCTAACACTGACGATACGGACAATCAGGCAGTCAGAGGTGGTCGCAGCACAAGTGAGTCTGCAGGAAGACACAGTGGGATCAGTACAGGAGGTGAGATTCAAAGAAAACAATAACAAATGGAAACCTCAACAACATCAAGGCAAGTCAAAAGACAGAACATGGGGGGGAAGTGAAAGGAAATATGGTAAATGTGGGAAATCACAGCATAGCAAGGAAGAAGGGTGTCCTGCAGCTAAAGCTACATGCCACAAGTGCAATAAAATAGGACATTGGGCCAGAGTGTGCCGAAACAGCAATAGATCAGTGAGTGAGGTCACAGGGACTGTACAGGCTGAGCAGACCCATTATTTATTAGGCTCAGTGTGCAGTGCAGATGAGAAAGAGCAGTGGACAGTACAGCTCCAGGTGGATTCTACTCCAATGGAATTTAAAATTGACACAGGAGCTGATGTCAGCGTCTTATGTGAGGATGCATTTCACACACTCACTCCACCAAAAACACTGAAACCAGCTGACATCCCATTAGACAGCCCAGGAGGTGAACTGTTGTGTCTGGGACGCTTTAATGCTAGTTAGTTACAAGGGAAATAACTACCTATTTGAAGCATATGTAGTCCG